GGAAGCTTGGCTTCCTCCATCATTGGGGCAACCAAGCCTCCTTCTTGCTCCAGCTCTGTGGCTGCCGGCAGCCATCTTGGTTGGATTAATTTGCATATAGTCGCTCTGATTGGGTGGTGGGCGTGGTTTAAGGCATAGCGAAGGTATGGTCAATTTGCATGTTTGTCTTTTATTAGTGTAGATGGCCTTCAGGAGGGAGAGGGAGAGATAGAAACATCAATGATAGAGAGAACCGATTGACTGCCTCTAGCACGCCCCTTTGCCCCCGACAGGAATCAAACCCGGGACCTTTCAGTTTCCAGGCCAACGCTCTATTGACTGTGCCAAACCAGCTTGGGCAAACCTGGGACAATTTTAGCACCAGAATAAAGGGGATTTGTGGGTTAGATCCCAGCGAAGAGGAAAGCATAAGGCCATCGTGACATCAATAGTAGATGGATGGGTTGATGGATGGGTGGGTGGATAAGTGAATCAAGGGATGAGTAAATGGAAGGATAAAGGAATGAGACAGTGAATGAATGAATGAAAAAATGAATGAGTGAGTGAATGGATGGATGGGTGAATAGATGGATGAGGGAGTGAGTGAACATATGAAGGAATGAGTGAGAAATGAGTGAATGGGTGAATGGATGGATGAGTGAATGGGTGAAGAATGAATGGATGAGTGAATGAGTGAATGGGTGAGTGAGTGAATGATACCTGAGGACAGTGCCTCCTTCCAGTGAGTGGTGTTGTTCAGAGGAGAAAATCAGTTGGTAAATGCAGGTGAGAAATGGAACATGCTCACAGGCTGAGGTCTCTCCCCAAACTCGCTCAGGTCCACGAGCCTCACGTCTCAGGGTTTCTCCTCAGTCTCATTTCTCCGGAAGTCTGACCCTGAACCGGAGATTGACCTGCCCTCAAAGCATCTTGCCCAAGTTATTTTATTGATAATAAAAAATTTAAAACATATAAAATTGCCACTTGGAAATGGCTTCCCAAACTGAGTCATGTGATGCACAGATATGATCCCGTCCCAGTCCCAGCCCAGGAGGAGGCTGAGGCCCGTCCTGCAGCTGAGCTCAGGGCCCGGGGCGGCGGGTGGGGGCAGGAGCGCCCTGGGCCAGGGCCTCACACGCTGGGTCAGGAGGGGGGAGGTCGGCACGTCAGGAGCCCGGTGGGGAGACGCGGGTGGTCCCAAGCCCCCAGCACAGCAGGTGGTGTCCTCCTCAGCCAGGTGCGGGCTGGCCTCCAGGAGGGGGTCCCCGCTGGTGGTCTTAATGCAGCAGCTAGAAGGGTTCAGAAATCTGGAGAAGGCGCTGTGTGTAAATTAATCAAGAGTCCAGAGACGAAACATGATTTTGGAAGGCATTTTGGGGATCAGAGAAGACTTAGCTAAAGAAACTAAGTGCTCCTTGTCTCAGGACCCCTTGCTATTTATTAACACACTTTGCCCTAAAGGGAGGCAGATATACATCAAAGGGCAGGGCTAGTACACAGAGTCGATTGTCAGATGGGGGAACTGCCTACGGCTGTCCAGGTGTTTGGCCAGCAGGAGGCAATAACATGTAGACTGAAATGCCCTCAGCTGCCTGGCAGCCAGCAATCCTTTATGCATCCTGTTCAGGTTTGGGGAAATACCCTCAGCCCCCTCCCGATGATTCAGCCCAGCTCACATGCTGGAGCTGGATTCCAGCAGGTCCTGGTGGCTCCCCTGACCCCATGGCTGGTCCTTGGGGACCTGGCCGCTGCTCGCAGCCTCGCGGGGATGGCTCAGGCATCTGCATCCCGCAGCCATGTGTCAGCTGGCGGTCCCTCTGAGGGAACACGGATGCTGTCTCCTCCGCGGGCTCCGTGGTGACGTCTGGCTGGACCCGGGAGGCCTGCAGGTCCCGACGCCTGTTCCTTTCTGCCCGCTCTCCTGTCCCCTGCGAGGGACACTCGGCGTGAAGACCAGGGGCCGCTCAGGCCTGGCCTGGATGTTCGGGGTCAGCCACCCCGAAGGCCAAGAGCGGGGCCTCCCTCCCCGACTTAGCACAGCATCTATGGAGGACTCAGCCCCACAGGGACCTGCCCCTCCCCCCACCCCGCCCTTCTCCCACCTAGCAGCCTCACCTCCAAGCTGGGGACAGGCAGCAATACCCCAGGAAAGGCTTTTCTTCGGGAGAGTTGTCCTGCAAAACAGAGACGCCCTGTGAGGAAGGAGCCGCCCAGCCAGGGACCAGGGGGCCTGCTGCTCACGGGGAACCTCCCAGAGACCGACCCGCTCAGAGGCAGCAAGACCCAAGCACGGGCTCCTGGTCGGCCTGTCCCCGGGGCCAGAAGATGGGGAAGGACCCGGGCCCCTGACACCTCCCCTGCTGCCAACCCGGCCCCACCTCAGCCCCGTAGACCGTCCACAGGGAGGGCTGAGCCCCC